CCCCCCCCTCCTTTCAATTGATAAGGGTGGTAGATGACTTAAAGACCAACTGAGGGGGTTACTCATCACGAAACAGAGTACCCTTTTTTGAGCTCTATTTGTCAAGGTCTTAGCGGTTAAGTTTGTGAAAATTTTCTAGCTTTTCAGCGGACTACAAGATGCAAATTGGATTAAATCACTACATTAACTTTCAGAGAGGTCGAATATTTGAGGCCACTGGTCGATTGGACGAGGCGAAAGCCATGTATGAAAGTGCCATTTCCATCAACCCATCCCATGTGAAATCGCTTTACGGACTTGTAAGTAGCAACTCCCCTCTAATTTGATTCAACCTCAAGTATTAACGAGTTAAACCTTTTCCACCTCTCCCCGCCCCCTCTTTAGGCTAGCACTCTAAAACAAAGTGAGCAGTACATTCTAGCCGAACAAGCCTTGCGAGACGCCCTAGCGATTGATTCAACCAACTCTCGCGTTTGGAGGCTTCTGGGTGAAGTCTTATCCAGTGCTGAAACTTCAAACGACCCTGCATCGAAAGCTATCGCCACTACGGCCCTTCTGAGCGCCATCGAACTAGAACAAACAGAACCTCTGGAGTCATTTTACACCCTACGTTTGGGTGTTTACTGCAGTTGAGATGTACCCCCACTACACTACTCCTATTTCCTTGATGTTATGTGATTTGTACATAGTTTAATTGATTGATAAATTTAATCTCTAATAAATTATAGAAACGAAAGAAATTGGTTCTATTTGTGAGGAAAAACAAACGGAATTAACATTTAACGACCGACTTGGCCTTGACTTGCGTCAGTTTTAGGATTAGCAGTTAACTTTTGAACCTCGACAATGGCGTGGTTGATAAGATCCTGGAGATTTCTCAATTCAGCGACATGAATAAGACGAAGAGTTACTGCAGCGGAGCGTAATTGAGGATCAGATATGTCGAAACCCAGAAAAATGTCTTTTGCATTTTGCAATTCAATTTTTTTGTCGTAAGCTTTTTCCTCCCTTTTGATGGATTCTTCGGAGAGCATCTTTTCAATCAGAACACAAATAGCCTAAAAGATCATTTAATTGAAATTTGAAAAGAACTTACTCGAAAAGTCTGTTTAGGATCCGGATGCTCGGGAATGTTAAGCAACTTTGAGAGTTTCTGAACTCCCTCTTTGAACTCGGGACTTTCGGCTAGATGGGTTAAAATTAAATCTGCAATCTTACTATCGGTATTTGCAAAAATATCTTCACGAAGAATTGGATTCAAGGTTTCACCTTTGCTTTCTAAAAAATAGATCTCATAAATTTTGCTTTACCCTCATTGTCGTTTCTTAATTCAATGCCACGATTTAATAGATAGTCCACCATACACTCCGGTTCAGTTAATTTATAAGGACAATTAATTTTACCAAGATACTAAGAAAAAATGAAACGTAAGTTTTTAATGAAAGCAAACCGATTCAACGTAGTTCTGCCATTTATCAGAATCTGTATCGCGAAACCTTTCTTTTATTGGAAGACAACGTATAATTTTGTCTTCCAACCACACTAAAAGTTTATAGACATCAGAGTGGACTAAGACGTAAAAGATGTGAAGCAGATTTACCTTGAGTGCTAAATGAATGACTCTCAGGATATCCGAGAAATTCGAGCTTCCTTTGCAGAACCCTTTCCACAGACATCGCAAAACTGGCGAAATTGACCAATTACATCATAACACCAAGGTCAAGATTAATAAGCAAACTTGTAATAATTGATAATAAAAGGTATCTTTATGTGAACTTATCATACAATAAGCTAATTTTAATGTAATTGCCTTTTGTTTTGAACTTCACTTGTTAGAAAAAAAGTTCTTACAATGAAATTCACATGTTTTGTATATTTGCTATAAGCTATCCAAGCCGATGGCAGCCGGACTTGTTATCTTTGGCATCGCCTTCAGTCTTTAATAATAAATTTTCTTGCGTTATTATTGTCAGAGCAGATAAGTTCTGATCACCCCGTAAGTTTTCGCTAGAGAACTGTGTATGATCATAAATAAAGTTAACCCGGAATAATTATTACACCCTTATATTCGATTAGGGCTAGAAATTGCATATTGGTAAACTGAAATAAAATAATCATGTTTCATCTTTGAAGTTATCATAACTTGCTTTAATTTTTCACTAATATCCCTCCAATCAGGCAGTTATTTTGAATGATCTAATCGGTTTCAATTTAAGCAGCTTTTAGTTTTCTCCTTATTTATTAGTGTGAACCCATAATTCATTTAATGAGGTACAAATGGTTGTGATTCTAGGAAAATTTTAAAAGATGGAACTCAGAATAGTCTGATGCCTTGATTATTTAGATATTTCCTTTGCCTATTTTTTTAATAACCGTATTTGAAAAGCTGAGAATAAATCGAAGTCCGCTTCCACTAACCACTAATCTCTAGTGCTTGTATGACCGCTAAGATCGTTCAGTACCCACTGCTTTCTAGAGAACTTAGGATATTTATCCAATATAACCGACGAAGTACAGATTGAAATTAAATATCTTAAACATTTAAGTCAGGATAGTGATGAGGATGAAAGGGATTTTCAAGCGGAGATTTTCAACCTCCGTTTTCCTCCCTTTATCAATATTAATTTATGAGCATAAGGGTGGTTGTAGCCTAAATAGAATACGGCCAATTGAATTAGACAGCCCCCTAGTAACCCGAGATGCCAAATCTGAGACTCAATTGAAATATTAACAATATAAAGAGGCATCTGACCAAGTTGAAAAAAGCCTGCTATTCTTTAAAAGGGCACACAATTCTCTAAATTTGGGTATTGTACACATTTTACCTTACCATGATGAATAAATAAATTAAACCTAAAACGATATTCAAAGATATATTGAGTACCTAATCATTCAATAAATTTTTGTCACCAATATGTCCTAGTCATTGGATAACAGTAAGAACAAGAATTTTAACAATTTCTAGAAATGGTGGTGATGCGGAATGCAAATGAATGAAAACACATACTTGGAAATGGGTAATTCATTGCCAATAAACAAGATGGAGAGTATTGCTTAACAGGACTACTCGATAAACGAACACTATCGTCAGGGTTAATAAGAGGAAAGACAGGTAAGCTATTAAGAGTTAGAAAATGTACTAAGCTCGCAACCTCGCCAACCAGTATAAAAGCATGAGCGAGGTAAGTTTGTAGGAAACAACGTGCTGATATTAAGTTCAATCAAAGCCCCATTGTATCACTTCTTGACCTAACTTTTATGCTCTTTCTTTAAATAATTCTCCCGTAGACTTCACTTTTGGCAAAAAAAATTATCTAAAAGACCTGCGATTTTCCACTTATGTATTAATATCTTACCAGATAATCTCCTGGCTAAAAGAACACTGTTCAATAACGTCTGTTCTCAAGTGCTTTCTACTATGCGTAACACTGACCCAAGTTTCCTGTGATTAAGAGACAAAAAATAAATCAAATGCATGCATATATGCGTGCAAGTAGATTACATTTTAGTAAGATATCTTGACACTAACAACATCAAAAAAACTGGCCGCTTGAAGATCCAGTTATTTCACTTACAAATCATCTTATAGAAAAGGCTTGTCAGTGTTACAGAGAGTCACTTAATTCCATCAAATTTACTAACCGATTTTGATATACAAGAAGTTGAATTTATATTTAAGAAACTGGGGTGTGCTATAGACTTTTCTCCACGTGATGCACCATGGGCAACGTATACTCATACAGCAGAAAAAGTCTATAAACCGGCAGTTGACTTCTGATCTCAAACTACCATGACCCCACTGTATGTCATGTTCGACCCCTTTCACAGTACTTATCTCTCCTTTTCTCTGCCTTTGTGTCTGTCTGTCTCATTTACATCTGTAAATCATTAGTCTGTCCCCCATCTCGACTTTTTGTCACTTTGATGTTCCTTCCCCTGTGTAAAGCCTGATGTCAACTAAAGGGCTAGTGATAACTATCAAAACGTCTGCCATTTAATATA